GCAGAGAATTTAGGAGGAATGTGGCCTATCATTTTGTAATTAAGCAATTTATATCAGTCCTTTCTATTTTATAACTCTCTAAGCGAAAATCTCCTAGCAATAAGTGCAGTAAACATCACCATTGACTATTGATTGATCAGTATCCTGGAAAGCACACCCTTCCATTAAGAACACTTTCCTCTGCTACCATCAGACCAAGGCACTGACAATAATGATAAACATTTCCATGCAATTTGCCAAGCACTTACAGAGTTTACTTTTATTGAGTGCATAATGTACCAGGAAGCGCACTTTCACATTTATTAAGTGTCCCCCTAAGAGCCCTAGAACACCACATAGTAGAAGAAATGTGAGCTTTAGGACAGGCAAACCTAAGCCTCGAACTGCTTCATCTCTTACGTGCCTTGTGACCTACAAAATTTCTCTGAGCAAGTTTCCTTGTGCATGAACTGAAGAAAATTTGCCTACCTTATAGGTAATTACAAAAGGTGAGTGAGATGATATCTACATAGAGTCTAATAGAGTACCTAAGCAGAACCTCAGTAAATGTTACCTTTCTCATTTACAAAGTTCTGAGTGATTCAGTAATCTGACCCTGGTCACACCTAAACGAGAGAATCAAGGAGGCATGACAGTTATTTAAGTGCATTGACTTCAGAGCCAGGCTGTCCAGGTTCAAATCCCAGCCCTACCACTTACCAGCTGTGTAACTTTGACCAAGTTATTTAATCTCTCTGTGGCTTAGTTTTCGCATATGTAAAATAAGAATAGTAGGGAAACTACTTCCATAGGGTTGTTATTAAATAATTGAGCACTTGGAACAAAATGTAGCACATAAAAGCACTATGTAATTTCATGAATAATAAGTAACATATATGTCATTAACTCAATACATAGAAATTCATACTCCATGGAAGGAAATGTAGAGCTCCTCCTCTCACTGCACTATAACACCACCCACAACTAGCAGGGCTGCTATCATATGCACGTTCTGGTTTGGGGTAGTTTGTGTCATTATTGTTAAGTTTGGAGGGTGTAAAAGAAAGAGATATAAAGGTAAAGTTTGTCATTGACATCTTTAACTCTTACCTTCTGAGGATGGTGCTCTTGTCAGTTCTTTTGTATTTTTTTCAGAAGTTTTAACTAAGCAAGTCATGGAAGCTCAATCTTAAGGTTTAGGCCAGGTGCAGTTGCTCAGACCCGTAATCCCAGCATTTTGTGAGGACAAGGTAGGCCAATGGCTTGAGCTCACGAGTTCAAGACCAGTCTGAGCAACGTGACAAGACCATGTTTCAATAAAAAATACAAAAACTAGCTGAGCATGGTGGCATGCACCAGTAATACCCGCTACTCGGGAGGCTGAGGTGGGAGAATCACTTGAGACTAGAAGGCTGAGGCTATAGTGAGCCATGATCACACCAGTTCACACCAGCCTGGGTAAGAGTGAGATCTTGTCTCAAAAAAAATAAAGTTAAACAGAATAACTAAATCAATCTTAGGGTTTAGCTACAATAATAGACCCTCATGTTTGCACTGAAATATGGACAAGTCTCTGTTCCTCTGTGACATGTCCTTTTCTTTTTCACCAGCAACAGTGAGAACTAGCTGGCACCAATTTCCCATTATCCTCCTCATGAAGGGCATGCATAACTCACTTAATTGCTTCACACTATAGCACACTGTTATTTAGAAGCAGTCTGTTTCTTTCCATTGTAACAGTAGGGAAATAAATAAGCAATTTTCATACATTAGGAAACATAAGCATGCCAGGGTCTAATTCATACATATGTGATAAGTAAACCAAAGCACTTCCATGAAATACACTGCACCACACAAACACCATTCCATTACAGCACCTGCTTGGGTGTGAGATATCACCCAGAGTTGTCTCATAGATGGGCCCAGGAAAGCAACGCCAGTGTGGAAACTCAAGGAACTGCCTCAGGATGAAACCTCTCCTTTAGATTGAAAAATGAAGAGTGAGAAATGGAGAGTCAACTGTCCTGCTTTTGTAAGTGGTATTGGTTTTTTGTGAGCTATGAGCAGGCTGCATGACTCTGAGCAAATATATTTTCTGTGTCTTGTTTATTAATGGACAGAAAAGCTAGCCTGAAAATGAAATTGATTTTATTCACTTAGGATTTCATACTCTATTGCACAACCACAACCCAGCAAATTTTTCATTAACAGAGATAATTACTTTAATGAAGATTAAATATAATTTAAAATTCACATTTATCTTTATCTACCTAATGCAGGTCAGAATTAGCCTAAAATGGTTGGGAAATGGGGAAGAAATGGGTTTCTTCAAAAAAGTCCCCATTTGTTTAAGAGGAGAGTGTCCTAATCTGATGGTCATTCCTGCCTTTTTTTCCTCTTCCTCCTCTTCTCCCCATTTTATCTATTAATGTCTCCCACATCGGGCCCAAATCAGACCTTCTGCTTTATAATAATCCTAATTTGGGGATGTTTGGCAGAAGCTACAGGATAGCAGCAATAAATACCCAGGATGCTCAATGATCTATGAAAAGCTGTGTTTATGATGGACATATAGAGGAGAAACACTGAGATCAAAGAAGTCCAGGTTAGCTTTAGAAATATCTTCCTTCCTTAACACAAAGTGCTTTACTCCACTTGTCAAAGAAAGGTAGCCAGGAATGATATTAAACTCATCAGTATTACTCATTTTATGTGGTGTTAGCACTGTTCATCATTAATGGCATTTGAGTATTGTTGTGGAAAGGGCATGTGCCTAGGAGACAGAAAAAATGCCACGTTTACTCCTGGTTTTTCTTCTTTTCAGATGTATGATGTTAAAAATTGTTCCTTTGCTGAATCTCAGGGTCTTCATTTGTGAGATGGAGATAAGAATGCCCACCTTGAGTTCAGAAATGTAGAGCACCTGGCATTAAATAGAGACTCAACCAATGTAATATACATTTTTGCTGTAACATAAATTTTCCTCTAAAATCTTCAAATACTATACCAATGGGACAATTCTCCCTAAGTGACAGCAACACCCAATTCTCCAGAAGTAACTAGTCCATTTTGCTCTAGGCTCTTGCTGCTACTGATCTAAGAGAAGGCTCAGGCAAAGAGGTTGCACAGGTTTATCAAACCCATTAGCACAGATATGCACAGCCATGAGTGTTTGGACATTTGCTTTCCAGGGAAGAAAACTAAGTCTAGTTTAGTAGGGATATACAACTGGCTCCAAGATAAGATATTTCAAATAATAGTTCTCATTTACTGAATACCAATGAGATATGTTACATTACATATATCAGCATGTTTCATGTAATCTTATTTAATTAGTGTGACTCTACAATTCATCATCTAACTCACGACACATTCAGAATAAAAGAGAAGGCTACAAATAATTACATCAACACAATAGGTATAAACCTGGATGGTCCTGGACAAACTGAACATATGAACACCCATGTTTAATTCACATAGCCACTGTATGAGCTATAGAACGCTGTCCCTAGTTTCCTGAAGGAAACCATGATTCAAAAAGGTTAAAAGTAATGAGTCCAAGGATACACAAACCAGCAAAAGGCAGACCCAGGGTGGGAAACTTTGTCTATAAGATACCAAAGGTTTTTCCTCTAACATCCTTCCTCCTTGAAAAACTTTATTCAAGATATCAGCTACCAAATGACAGCATTAATTTCACTTTGAAAGCTTGTCTTCATTGAGTGAATAGGAAATTTCAAGCTCTGGGTTACGACTTCCAAATGCTATCATGAAACAGGGCAAAAAAAAAAATTGTGAAGTGAAAGCAAAATGACACCAGTAAAAGCAGTTATATCCTAATGAGTATCTGGCCCTCTTTGAGTGCTCAATGCAGCCTGAATATCAAAGCCGTGAGCTAATGCTTACTCAAGCATAGATAATGACAGTCAATGGGGCCAGACATCAATAAGCCTGTTTTCCCAGATACTGGTCTAGATTCTCATGCACCCAATGAATTCCTCCATCTAGGCCAACTCACTGCTGATATTAGGGACCTGAAATCACAAATGAATTTGATTTACTTCTATAACATTGTCAGAATCTTTTCTTTCCCCCAGAATGTAATAAGGATAAAAATGTTGAAAATGATCAACATTCTCTCCTCTCCATGGTGTTTCAGTAGATGAAATTAGATGGGTTTTCAACACTACCACCTTTTGACCTATCACTGTTTATATTTTTCTTGTCTCTTTGCAAATCAAAAGGTGGCCCAGTCTAGCCTCTCTTGGAAACTAGTCACATTGACAGACACAGTAGAACCTGTATCGTGGCAAGGGAACAACAGTTCAAATCACTCATAAATTCCAAGCATCCTCAATCACAATCCTTTAAGGAAAGACCATCCTCAGAAAGCAAGTAAATTCCTGATCCTAAGAGTGAGTGACCAGGTATTCCAATGATGCTGTAAAAGAGCCTACCTTAGAACACAAGAAATCCTGAGTAAAAATTCAATTCTGTTTCTCTGAAGTTGTGTGATCTTGACATTTCACTCAAACTCTCTGAGCTTCAGATTTCTCAGCTGTAAAGACATTGCCTCTCAAATTTAGTAGGCACAAAAATTGCCTATAGATCTCATTAAAACACATTCCTGGGGCCCATCCTTGGAGATTCTGATTTATTAGGTTTGGTGTAAAGCCAGAGAATCTGCATTTCTTATAAGTTTCCAAGTGATGATGATGATAGTCATGATCGTGATTGTGGGCTACACTTTGAATAATACTAAACTGAATCAACAATGCTGACTTCACAATTTCTGAAAAGCTCTGAAGAGAGATGACAATCCTTAGCAGAGCTGCTGACTCATAATGCCTCACATTCAACGTTGAATAAAGCATCAACAAAGTCCAGGAGTATTAGTAGGAACAAAATTTGTAATAATTTAATCATTTCTAATAGACCAGGAACAAGATGTCATTATAGTCCAATCCCTCTTGTTATATTATAGTCTTTGTTAGCGTTCCAGTTTCAAGCTGTGAACTTACCCAAAGGCCTCCAAGTTTTCCCTTTCTTTTAGCACAAAACATAGTTTTTGGCTTACAAAGTCCATTCATCCCCTTTAGGCTCAGCTGCATCTCTGTGGCATCCAAACCCCTTTTAAAATCATCTTCATTACTACTTTAAAAATAAAACATAAGTTTTCCTGTTAAAAGAGTACTCAGAAAATAGATGGAATGATATTTACTTTGCTGAAAACAGATATCTCCTGTTATACCAATTGTCAATTCTAAGATAAGCTGGAATCCTTCAGTTTGTCCTTGTCTAATGCAACTCAGAGATCAGGGACTCACTTCTTCTCCCTCCCCTCTGTTTTTCCCCTCCCTACATTCCAGCTTTCTCTCTTCATGACATTATTTAATCTCTCAGTTGCAGCTTCTTGGGATTAGCTACAGCATCTATTAATAGTTTTACTTCTGTTTACAGTTCCAAGGGGAGAAAAATAGCTCATTCCTTTTCTCCAATCTTGAAGATATGTCTTATTGCAAAGGGAGGAAGATGCACAGGCCCCGTGAATAACCTATTTCCACAATCATTCCACTGTAAAGATGCTAATGTGCTTCTTTGCCGAATGGATCCATTTAATAGGCAGAACAAGTTGGATATAAACTCTTTAATTGCTTTCAGCACACCGATTATCTTCCTGTGTCACCTATTGTATAATGCAAAAATGTTAACAAAAGCACTTACTGAAGACATTATTGGGAATTAAAAAACAAAGAACCATCAGTTGTCACTAAATATGCCTTTCATGCTCCCAAATGAAATGCATTTGTGCACTCAAGAAATAGGATAGAAATGTGCAGACCTGCCATTGTCAGATGCAAACATCTTCATTAGATTTTGATCCAGCTGCTGCAAGATCTATAAAAAGAGCTATCAAAGCTGGCAACTCATTATTGGTTATTTCAGGAAAACTTCAAAAAACTATCCCTAAACCTGCACTGATCTTTTCTGACAAGTTCCTTGGCCGGGCTGTTTGTTTGGGGACAGGGGCATTGCAAACCTCTGCCAAGTCATCCTCTTGGAATGATACTTCAAGGGATGCAGTCTTTTGGGGCTGTTAGGGAGAAACCACAATTGCAGAGTCAACTTGCATTCCTGGACATTTGAGCTGTAAATCTCTGTCTATCATCCCCCAAATCTTCTGTTCTGACCCAGCAGCTTTCCTTAAACACATATAAGTGAAAAGCAGCCAAACCCAGGTCTTTACAGACAAGAAAGGAAAGATTAATATATGCAATGTCTTGTGATATCCTTTCTTTGTTGCAACAAATCTTCTTACGCATATTGACAGTTAGCTTATTTCTAGCATATTATGTTCTGCAGGTGCTAGCTTTTTCAAAGAGAAAAAAAGAGGAGTAAGGACATAAGCAAGGAAGCAGAAGAAGAAAGAAAATAAAGGAACGAAGGAATGGAAAAGGGAAAGTGGAAAATAGTTTGTCTGGAGATCATGTATACAGGAGGTTATGAGGAAACAAACTCTAAATGCCAAAATTACCTACAACTGCTCTTTGAATTCTACTGAAACAGAAGGCGGTCCAACAAAGACCTGAATACCATTCATATTAATCACAGCCCCTAACATCTTGATGGGGACCTCTCCAGTCAGGCCCAGGTCTCCAGAGGCCTCTGATGGATACCAGACAAACAACTCGCAGAAAACAACTGTCAGAGATGTCACAGCCATCTATGAAGAACTCTTTCTCCCTCAGTCTATATATGTCTCTATTTATGACAAAGAGAAACACAAATTATTATCCTGTGATTCAACCTCGGTCAACAAGGAAGAAAGAATATACAAGCCACTAACAAAGTCTGCTTTAAAGATTTTTAGCTTGGCCTTTAATTTACCCACTATATTATCTGCATTACAGTCAAAAGAAAATTGAAATGCTCAAATTATTGATGTAATATTACATCTACTATTTAAATTAGGTATAAGAGCTCATTTGGGGATCATTTTATTATATTTATATTGTCATTAAAACTATTGCCCAAATCTTAATGATCTTAGTAACCACAAACATTTTTCATTACACATACCATCCCGATGCCCTTCAGAAACATCACCTTTCCTGCAATACCACAACTTTCATCTTCCTTCCTGTCATCTGCCTTGGCCAATGGAGTCAGATGGATAAGAAGAGAAGAAACTGAGGTCCACACCCACCCAAACCAGAGTAGGATTTTGAGTTGGGGACCAGAGCCAGACTTATCTTTTTATGATGTAAATCTGATCATGAGGCTCCTACATGTAACATCATTCAGTAGCTTCCTATTGCCCATCAGATAAGATCACATTCCTGCTGTGCAGCTACAGGCAGTTATTAAACCTCTCCATGGCTCAATTTCCTCATCTGTAAAGTGGCGATAATAATCATGAGGAAAATGTATGTAAAGCACTTAGCACAAAGCCAATAAATGCTCAATACCATTATTAATAATGTTATCTCACCAGCTAAATTCCTTTTCAGTTCCCCCTTTGTTCTGTCATGCAGCCATATTCAACAGTGAGTTTCTCAACTCCCCTATGATCCTCCTTGCTGCTATAACTTGATCTATGGTTTTCTTGCTGCTTGCAATACCCTCTTACTCCTCCTGGCCCTTGGCCAGCCTCACTCCTATTAATTGATGAACTGTCAGCTTAAATGCATAATGTGGAGAAAGGCTTCTCTGACTTCAAGTCTGAGTTTGCTTCTTCCAATACATTCCTCATTTCCTACTTCCTCTACTACACATATATATATATATATATATATATATATATATATATATCATGCATTATTGTAACATCTTACTTGACTGAGATATCCATGAAGGACCTAAGATTAGATTTGCCTTGCTTAGCACTGTATTTTCTCAGTAGCAAGCACAGTATAGTCAAAAGTGAATTGGGTTATAATGCAACTAAAAAAAAATCTTAGCAGATTACAATGACATAGGATTGGTCCTTGCTTATACTATGTACATGTTCATCACAGTGTTTTCATGCTGAATCCCAGTCTGATGCCTCCCTTCCTACATTCTGGAACATTGTGGATCTCAAGGTAGATGAAAAAGGAACACAGTAATTGTTCACTGCCCTCTTAAGGTTTCAGTTCAGAAATGGAACATCTAATTACCCTTCATACTTTACTGGCTAAGGCAAGTCATGTGGCAAAGGCTTATGTCAATCAGGCAGAAAACTCATGTAAAAAGGGTACCACAGAGAGGGAAACTAAAATGCTTAGTGAACAGTAATATCTATTAAAACATATCTCAATAAATGTTAGTTTAAGGAAATCTTACTTTGCTGCAAGATGACAGATATAAACCCCACACCAGCTGAATTCTTCCCATAGACTTCTGTTACTCAAACACATTTTTACTTCTGGATAAACTTGACTTTCATAATCACTTTCCTTTGTTCTCAAAACCATGTTTTCTGCCAGTCACCAGTTGCATATCTATGTGGTAATGCTTTACAAATCATATCAGTACATCACTTTTGAGTAATGAACAAAAATTAGGTTCAAGAACAAAAAATATACGTATTATATGATTGCAACTCTAGGCAAAGCATTCATATGTACAAGCGGGGTTATATCCAGTCTCGTAGAAATATGTGCCAATAAAGCAACCTTCAAAATCAGTTCATCTGACCTCAGATGAAACCCAAAAAGTTGAGTTACTTACCAAGTTAAAACAGCTAAATAGTAGCAGAACCAGGACTGAATTATGCATTAGGAATTTTAAAGCAAGTGTTCCTTCTATTACAAATTATTGCCTTCCCATGAAGATTGCCACCAAATGTGAGTAGAGAAAGAGGTCACCATTTAACAGACAAGGAAACCAATGCCCAGGGAGGTGAAATGACTTTGTCAAAGCTATCTACCTAAATAGTCTTGTTTTCTTAACCACACAAATCCCTAAGGAAAGCTGTGTGGTTTCAGCACCTAGGACAGTAATATCTGTCGAGTTGAACTGAACTGAACCTGAACTGAACTAAACCGAAATGAACTGAATTGGATTGAATTGAATCGAATCTAACTGAATTGAAATGATATACAAGGTAGAGATATATTTTCGCTCACTCCATAGCCCTTGTTTCTGTTTCCTCTGGATTTTTGGACTTGCCAAACCAGCACGTTACACACCAAATATGACTTAGCTAGTTTCTTTTCTATAACATCCTTATTCTCTGCTTCTTCCATATTTATAATTGCCTTTTTCCTTTGAGCAAAAACAAACTAATACCTAGAAATCTTGTCATCTTATGATATTTACAGAACAACATAGGGTTTGGAAAGCAAAATCACAAATGATACAAGCTCCCAAAAGATCATTAGACAGAGAACTTTATTCCCTCTGAACTAAGCAGGTCAGCTGAAAAGTAACATAACCCAGATGATCCTAAGACACAGGGGAAAATGTCATTAAGTTGCTGTTTTCCGACAACTCAGTGATATGGAAAAGGAATAAGAATTAAATTTGAAGACAGAATGCAGATTCTGGCTGGACTCCAGGTTTGAGGGGTATTATATAAGAAAGAAACAATATCACTGTCAAATCTGATTGTTTAAAACATAAAACTCTTTCTATATGTCTTGAGATGAATAGAGTCACACAGTATTGGGATGGATTCTGAAATCATGCAAACAAAGAACAGCATATACCATTTGGATTAAAATTTTTTCTACTTAAAATCTGACTCTGCTTTCTTTTCCTTTCTCTCCTGCCTCACAAAAGCACTTAGACATTTGAAATTAGCCACATTAAAGCTTCTTTATGATATTATGGATTTGACTCTACTATGGAAAAAGCATGGACTTTGTGATAAGACAGAATTTGGTTCCAACCGTAACCATACCTCTTCTTGTTGTTTGATCTAAGCCTTAGTTTTACCAACGGTAAATAGACATGATATTCTTATGACAATATGGTGTGCTGAGGATTAAATGAGAAAATGACATTATAACACATCTTATTTTCTTTTCCCTCTACATACATAGAAATACAATTATCCACATAGCAGCTCCACATAACTGTGTGACAAATGATTTTTTGTTCACTGTCAATAAATGCCTCCATTTCAGCTCTTCAATAAATTAGCATAAGTTTACTGAGTGCTATTTACAGGAAAAACTTTGTGGTAAGTGCTTAAAGGTTAGAAAGTCTTATTACACAAAGTATATGAAATTAGGGCATTTATTGAAATACCTTTTCATTGGTTATCATAGCAAATAATTGAGATTATTTAGACTTTTAAGTGTTTACTTTTCTTTACAGGATGAATGTTCAGCATGGAAAAATAAGAAAAACAAATCAACCACTTAGACTCAAGCTCAAACTAAAAGTAGCGGTTCTTATTTCATAGTAGATTGACTGGCAATTACTTGCTTCCAATCAGTTTTGTGTTACAGCTGTATCCCTGTATGTGGCTGTACCCGTCTGTACCCTTGCCTCCATGTACTTGCACACACAGTGTTGTACAGAAAAACGAGAACTGTGCCTGTGGTTCCAGCCCTGCCTTCCCATACTGTAATGCAAATTAGAATTGCCATTGTGTTCCTTCCTGGAAAGTCGAAGTCCTCATTGTTAAATGGGATTTTCTGGACAGAGGATCTCTAGATCTCTAAAGTCACTACCGTATGTGTAAGTTAAACTGTGGCATAAAACACCTGTAACTCTTCACTAATGTGTGCATCTATATGTACCTTTACACATAGATGTATGTAAGAGAATATAAAGAATATGTTCAGTTCCCAGAACACAACTCGACAGCAATTTCATGGAGATAGATAACATACTAATCCAGTTTCACATTACTATACTAAAGTGTCATGAGTAAAAGATTACCAAAGAACTTTCAAACGAATGTCTACTTTAGTGTCTCCTAAAGCAGTGCAGAGATAGATTCCAGAATAATACCTGTGGTTTTTCTCCTTTACCTATCCCCCCATGCCCACCACACAAATCCTGTATAACACAAGGAAGATTATAGGCAAATTGGATCCATAGTGTTGGGGAGGTTTAATTGACCTCATAATGTTTTACCTATCACCCTAATTGAAACCACTCAGCCCCATCTCAAAAATAGTAGGAAAAAAAGATAATATTTTCTCATGATGCCCTGCCAATATTACAATATGTTTGTCACCTCCCAATGTCTTCCCCCACCTAATCACTAAAATAACCTAAAAATTATTAACACTGAAGGTTTCATTGTCAGTGGTCTGATTTTCTTTTTGACTTTGTGTCAGTGCAAAATTTTTAAATAGCGCCCAATATTATTCCAACCATCCCAAATTCCTGGTTTGTCAGAATATTGTAATTTCTTATATATTATTTATAAGGACCAGTATGCATGCATCAAAAATCTTCTTTCACATACTTTTCACAATAAAGATGAAAAACATACTTTTTTCCTGTTTTATAACCATTGAAATCCAAGGCAGAAATTAGCCTTGACATAAGGAAAGATACAGAATAAAGAGAAATGTATTTTTCAGCATAAAAATTTTAACTTTAAGTAGAAAAAAAAGCAATTACAAGTCAATTCATCCTTTGGGAATATGTAATGCACAAAGATTTCTGGTTAAAACACAGATGAAAGGGTACAGATATAAAATCTTTCTGTACAATTCATACCAACTCTATACAAATATTAAATCTCCATATGATTAATATTAGGTTCTCATTATATTA